ACAGAAACATGACTGAAACTATTGTAGTCGACTATATTCAACATTAGTCGACTATATCTGAGTTTTACAGAAAAAATATAATGTATGAAATGTTTTGACACTCAAATATTAATTATAAAATCTAATGGTTAATATAGGGGATTTCTATAATTAACCAACACACTAAGCCTGTGTTAGTGTGTTCTAATATTTATGTGTGTGTGTGAGTGATCAAGTCTTTTACAATAATTCTAAGTAAAGAAAATATAAAATACATTATCTCATATGTTCTTCATCTTCTTCACTTCATAATGCCTTGAACTCAACTTGCATTTGTTCATATTTTGATATTGAAAGCTGCATATAAATGTTAGTGCAATTGTATAACACACATTGTATAAATTGTTATCATCAAAATAATATCATGGAGACTTGATATTCAACAGCAATTGTATAACACACATTGTATAAATTGTTATCATCAAAATAATATCATGGAGACTTGATATTCAACAGAAAGTAAGGCATATATCTTTAAGAAAATTTCATAATGAGTGACCAACTACAATCATCCTAATTTAAGTATAAATAATTATTATTTTAGTTATTAATTTGATACGCGTAACTATGGAATAAATGTTAAGCAAAAATAGGAATTGAGATTGTATTATCTTATAGGCAAATAAATAAATATTATTAGAGATCCTCTTTATATTTAATTTAAAAACAATAATTTAAATTATTAAGTGCCAAATATTAGTTCATGTGAGAAAGTAAAAGTAATTATAGTCTATATACTTATATAGTCAATCAATCAAACATATTAATATTATGATGACAACAATCAAAATTATTTGATGGGTTCACATTAAATATAATTTATAAAAATAGTATATTAAAGTTAAAATTCTTTTAACAACTATATAGATTGTCTGAAAATTTTTGCATGTATAAACTATACTGTCTAGGAATAGTGATGTGCACACTTAATTATGGCCTAATACATCTTAAGAACGACTTATTCTTCAATATCATTATTAATTGACATATCTATGTATTACAGTGAAAACACAATAAAAATTTAGTAAACTACAAAAGAAACACCATCAAAAGTTTTAAAAATTATAAAAAATCCTCTAAATTTTGGTAATTTACAAATACACAAAACTATTTAACATTACATTGAAATTAAGGAATTATAAAAAAACATTAAAAATCTTCAAACTTTGGAGGTGTAATTTGAAATGTACTAAACTTTAAGGGTGTTTTTTTTTATAAATTTCAAATTTAATAGATTTTTAATTAGTTATGTTCTTTTCAAAAAAGTTATAGTTAATATTGACCTTGAAAAGTTTTCTTCCTAAATCTATATTTTTAATGGGAGTATGGTATGTTTTATAAATTTTTTATTTTCTAGGGGTTGTTAGTAATTTTGTATATTCATTTTAGTGTCTATAGGTTAGAAATTCTCATGATCTTTTTATAAATTAAGAATTTTAGGTGTGTTTTTTACAATTTTTAAACTTATAGACATTTTCTATATATTGTAAATTGTTTATAGATTATTTATAATCCCTATATTTTTAATTTACTAACGAGTTTGAAATTCTCAAGGTGTTTTTTAAAATTTGAATTTTGAGTATTTGTTTGTAATTTTTGAAACTTTAAGGGTATTTTTCATAAATTATAAATTATATAGGGAATATTTGTAATTTTTATATTTTCAATGTACTGTTAGGTTAAACATTATTAGGATTTTTGTAGGTTTTATAATTTTGAGGGTTTTATTTTGTAATTTATAAAAAATTTAGAGTGCTTATTGTAAATTCCATAAATTTTTGGGTGTTGTTTGTGTTATTTATAGATTTTAGTGTATTTATAGGTTTAAATTTTTTAATGTATTTTTTATATATTTTGAATTTTAGGGGTGTTTTTTTAATTTTTAAAACTTACAATATATTTTCTCTAAAATCAAAAAACTTACATTTCTAGCTAACATATGTTTTTTAGATTTCTCTTTGAATTGAAATAAATAAAATTTACAATTTTTAAGATATTTTAATAAAATTTTGAATTTGTAAGGTTATTTTTGTAATTTAAAAAACTTGGAGGATATTTTTTACAAAGTTCAAAAAATTTTAGGTGCAGACTAGCATATATTTTTTACATTTATCTGTAAACTGAAACAAGTAAGTGATTTGAATTATATCAAACGTATCTTTTTTATCTAATAACATGTTAAGTCTCATTATGAATAGGATAAATTATTTAATTATCAATTCAAAAAAGATATGATAATTAGAATAGATTAGGATAACAATGTAATATTCAAAAAAAATTAAGGGTAATATTGATCATGTATTTTTTTTTCTTCTAAAATCGTACTTTTAAAAAGAGTATGATATGATTATATATGATGTTTATCATACAATAAAACATAACAACGGTTCGTGAAGAGTAGGAGAGCCCTTCAATTTGCTGCAGTTGTGAGTGCAATACAAGTATCAACCACTTCCAACTCGCGTTGCGTGTAGTGAGTGGTGAAGCTAGAAGCTTTGTAAAAGGGGGTTTTGCCTGATTGATTAGTATTTAATATCATTATATAACACTACTTTCAAATCAAATTTCAAATTCAAATATTGTGTCTACGATAACATTCATCTTGCTTTCGTTTATTAAAACTTTCTCGTGACATTTTCCTCGTTAGTGTTATAAACTATATTCTTTTTAACATAATCCACCAAACAATTATTCATGTACTCATTCCCTATTCAGTTTGGAAGCTCAATACTAATTTTCATTGCTGAAACCTTTCCATTGCGACGGGCAAGATTAGTGTCAGCTTTGAGGTATAAATTATCCATCTTTCATTTCATCGGCTTCTTAGCAAGTTTATCGATCCCTTGAAATTCAAAAAAATTCATGACGTGCAGCTACATATGAAATGTAGTTCACAAGTCGATCACTAAGCGCCGCCGTATCATATTCTCACCCTCACGGTCCATATTCCCGACAAACCTCATTGTGAACACGTGTTGAATGGAGAGGAGGCAAATGACAACATCTAGTTTATATCTGATAGTCTATCTGTCAATATCAAACTTAAAGTGTATTAAGTAGCGAAACGTGATAGTATAGGGGGTCTATGTGCAACTAATCCTGCAGAATTTAAGATTTTACAATTTATAGCTTCAATCATGGTTAAAGGTGTTTGTTTTGGAATATCAGGCTTTTGTTGGAGATTAATTGATTATAATCCGAGTTATGCTTCAAACCTCATTTGCAAGATTGCAGCTTAAAAGGGTAGTAACTGCCAATTACACCCAAATCTACCGGTTGTAACTAGAACCTTTTTGTAACGACAAGTGAAATGCAATTACAATTGGTCTTAATTACCTTAGTTGCATACTTGCATGCAGCTATAATTGCAAACTCTCTTGCCGTTGTAATGAACCAAAGGGCTGTCTATTGATAGAGGGATGATGGAGATGGTTACATGTGTCTTTCTTTCAATCTAGTGCAATTAATATATAACATCAATCCATCATTTATATATCTACATGATCAATATAATATATACAATCACCAATTTTAAAATGTATATTGAAAGCTCTTGTCACGATCTCCTTACTCTCTATATTATTCTCTATAATATAAAGGATCCTCTATAAGATAGATTCTTTTTCCCAAAAGACACGGAATCATTATCAATGAATGTGGGTAGCTCAATCATACAAGAAATACTGTCCATCAAAGTTGGCAGCTCAATAATAAACACGAGATCAATCTTCTCTGCCTTGGCTCGTATACAATAAGCAAACAAAAAAAAAAAAAACTATAATAAATTGTATCCCCAACCTCTCTTGCTAACCCCCACATGTTCTCTGTCAATCAACCGAAATAAAAATGGGTTAATTTGAGAGACATCTGTTGTAATGTACTATATAGGTATAACCAATTATATGCCTGCTAATTAAATCATTTCATTAGCACTTAACCCCCCACCCCCCACATACAACTCTCACCAAGTTATATTTGCCCATAATATAGAGAATGTTTTTTCAGTTAGCATGAAGACATGATAAGTAATCGTCATAAACGATAAATCATCATGTGACATCTGAACCCGAGGTAAATACTATATCTAGAATTCGGTGTGTGCAAATCATTGTTTAAAATAATATCATCTAGACCCAAGAAAGCCTAGCAAAGTTGGTAAACCGCCTACGAGTAATACTCAAGTTCTCAAATTCGACTCTCATGGAGAGCACCCACACGAATTTAATTTCATAGAATACTCAAGGACGTGCGTTGAGGGCCCTTAGCCACGCCCAGAGGTATCGGTTTGATGCCCATGGTCTGAAAGATTGCGAGGTAGTTCCCTCGCCAAACCAAAAAGGCAAAAAAAAAAAAAAAAAATCGTCTAGAGTTCAAGGTGTGTATGTAAACGGCTAAATGCAAATAAAATAGTTTAGAGAGTAAGCAGGGAGTGTAATTGCAACTAATCCAATAGAAATACCGGAACCACATGATGCTCCACCTATGCAGTTAATATTTCTACATGGAACATACCAAAACTTGGAGTAAAGCAACATGAAGCGTCTAGTGAGGCATCGATAACAGGATACAACCATATTCAACCAAAATTCACATCCCATACTTGGTTCTCTTCATAATAGGCATTATTATAACAAATATGTGAAAATATACATTATCCTAAAACTTATTTGCATGACTTAACTTCCTCAATGATTAACTGTCTCAGTATTGTCAGTTGTTCAGAAACACCATGCATAATCCTCTGATATTATATAATTCCATTTTATCTTTCAAATTTCCAATCCGAGTCATTTTTCATCCATTTGAGTTTCCAAATACTCCATCAGAGCTCAGATTCATATAATTTACTCATTAGGATCACTCCAGCTGCCCACATTTGTATGTTATGGGTTTAAATGTATCTGCTTACCTTAAAAGAACCAACAGCAGACCAAACATACCCCAATTCAAACTCAGCAAAAGAAACAAAAGCCAATTAAAATTCTAAAACTAAACCGATTAAAATCCTTAAAAATCTGGAGTAAAACCGAGCCTTTAACCAATTTGAGGAAGGCTGGCATACACATAAAGCAACCGGCGTGATAAAAAATTACATACCACATTGTATACAAACATGAAGAATAACAGTAATGTTATGCTTCAAGAGATTCAGAACTGTGAATGCTTATACACCTTGAGAGACATCGACCAAGCTTATGATTCTGAACCGGTTTGTACCACGAAAAGAACGAAGGATCCTCTTCAAATGATTCCTTGTAGCTTTCAAGTATAGAAACTATATCTTCAAATTGTGGTCTTTTATCTGGATTTGTTGACCAACATAGATTGATGAGATGCGTAAATGCCTTAGGGCAAGATGCGGGGAGAGGTGGTCTAGCATTCTGCAAAAAAATAAATAAAATGTACAGAAAACTTTGAATTTTTGAAGATTCAGTTTCATGTTAAGTAAAGGATATATAATTTGAAGTAATTTGGGTTAAATGTTACTCCTATTCATAAACCCGGTAACAATAGCCAAGCTATTTGGAGAGATAAATATGGATCGAACTTATGAGAACAATCCAAGTTCTCATTTGCATGTACCACTTCCTTAAACTCAAAAACTGTGCTTATACACTACTGATATGTGAATCCTCTGTATAGAAGTTTGTGTACGTGATTCTTTGTCAAAAATATTGAAATCGGGTTGAATTCTAGCAATCAAATTTCCATGTTAGCATCAAGCGTACTTATCCAATGGTTCATACTTCAACAAGAACAAAGATACTTAACAGAAACTAATCAAAAGGAAAACATGTCACTTGCAAGCATGAATTTGAGGATTCACAGTTCAGAAGGATAAATATGTTAACATTAACATATAAAAATCCTATTAAAATCCCTAAACATTTTGACTTTTTTGATACGCAACCCATGCATTTGGAGAATATGCTCAGTATGCCACCTAATTGCATCCACACAATGAACTATACAAGTTTGAAAACAAAGGTCCTGTTTCCTGAGAAATATACAAGTGCCAACATATCAGCAGTCAAATCTCAGGTAATGCAATTTGCCTCACCAAGGATGTGAAAATAGGAAATATATCATCATACAATATGTTAACTAAGTTGGTAATTTATTTGCCAAAAAAAATAATAAGGTTTACTTGCAGATAGATCCCTTGTACTATCTATCACCAACTGCGGATAGATCCTTTGTGGCAAAAGTTTTCCAGATAGACCCCACTCTTTTACCCTCCGAGAGAAATTTCCTCTTTATTGAAAAATAGACCTCCTTAGGGTAAAACAGTAAAAGCCAAAAAAAAAAAGTTAGGGGGTCTATCTGCAACAATAGAACTACACGGGGGCTATCCGGAATTCAGTGATGGTAAGGGGGTCTATCCACAATTAACCCAAAATATAAACAAAATATTGAACATGACATATCTAATATCTATATACCTTCTGGGCTACAGAAAAGGCAGCTTGCTCAGGAGTCATGTCATGAAAAGGGATCAATGCCGTAAGCAATTCCCATAGAACAATTCCAAAGCTATATACATCAACTTTTCTCGTATGATGCTTTTCCTTGATCATTTCTGGCGCCATCCACCGATAAGTGCTTGTGAATCCCTTTCCACTTCCACACTGAGATTCTAAGCATGAGATCCCAAAATCCGCTAGCTTTACCGATAAATCCTCACCAAGCAGTATATTTTCTGACTTTAGGTCACGATGAAGTATTCCTTCAGAGTGAAGATAAGCCATGCCATGAGCAATTTCAAGAGACAACTTGAGGACTAGTTTTAGAGGAAGAGAGTGAGGCTCTTGTTTATGGAGATATTTTCTTAGTGAACCTCCTTCCATGTATTCCGTAATGATGCAGAAGACTGGAGGTTTTTTACAAGCCGCAACAAACTACAAAGAAAAAACAAAGCACTTTAGTTCAGATATAACCAAGTGGCAAATTCTTAATAAAACTTATTGATACAAAAATAAGATACAAGCAAAAGGCTAGAATCTGAGATAAATAATACACACACGCCATAACATCCTTGAAGTTGTTTTTCCACATCTTACTAAACTGTGTCAAATGCATATTGGAGAGAGAAAGAAAAGGTAATGAAAAATCAGAAGGAGCCAATTGTAAATCTTTCTCCATAGCTACACGCCTCATGCATTTTACAATATATTTCTCTTAAGAAAAATCATAACAGTCAAAATCTTACAGATATGGGCTGATAAATGCAGCACTAAATAGGGGCCAACTTTAGAAAGACATACAGTTGTTATTGATGAGATGAGCACATATATTTATATGAAGGATAAGATTATAATAGGCCAGAAGTAACTGTATAAGATGCAAAGGTGAAACAACAATATGTTACATAAATGGACACATCTAAGGGTCTAAAGGTCTATTACATTCAAGGACTCAGGTCCATGTTTGTATGCTAATGAAGTCTGGAACTTGCAATAGCTTTACTTAATCTGGCCTGGTGGAGTAATCGTAAAGTTCCATTCGAAGTTCTGGCAGTTTTAGATTTAACCAAATAGCTGAAGAAAAATGCAGTATAGTTTGTTGTTGATAATGAAATAACTAGAAGATGCAGACACCAACTCTCAACACTCATACTGATTTGACAACCAAAAGTACAAGATTAGGTGCTTACATGCGCACATAAAAGAAAAGTAGCTTCATCACCATGCGAAACAAAAAGAGG